AGGTACTTATAAGCACTTTTAGGGGGAGGGGTTACAATTATTCGTGGATTCTAACTATTTGCGGCCGGTTCTGGCCCCTCAGCCCCACGAATACGGGGGGGGGGGACTCACTGTAATTAACTATACACAGATGCATAATAATTAACATTGTTAAACGGAACACATCTCAGTTAGCTCACTGCTATACACGTTGCACGTTGAAAACAGACTAGCGACAAATGTACACGAATGACAAATATAACCTAGTCTAAATGGCAAACACAGCACCATCTATTATAAAATTTCTTTATTCTTAATAACTCAAAAAAAAAATTGTTTGTGTATATATATATATATATATATATATATATATATATATATATATATATATATATATAGTGCGTAGGTATGCAGAAAATAGAAAAGAACACGTTGGGTGCATAATCCGGGGTTCCTTAGTATTTTTTGTTTTTATTTTTAAGAAGACAGTGCACCATACCGGGCCTAAAAATACACGTCAACCGACAGATAGCTTAATCCTAAAATTTCACTTGAAGATGAAACGGGACTAAACATCACAATCCAACTTAATTTTAATAATTATTTGGATATTTCGGCTCTCGTTTTTGAAACATGAGAACACTTATGTAGCGAAGGAATCATATTTTTAAACAAAAATATTATATATATATATATATATATATATATATATATATATATATATATATTTGTCTGTAAGCAAATATATGGATATAGATCCGACAGTATAAAGAAAAATATATACGGAAAAAACAAACAAAAATCCTTATATACAATTATGCTGTTTTAATGTTAATATGTCCACGTCAGACGTTTCGGTCTAATAAACCATCTTCAGGACATATTCATAAATTATAACATTAAAACAGCATAATTGTATATAAGGATTTTTGTTTGTTTTTTCCGTATATATTTTTCTTTATATATTTGTCTATATATATAAATGTCTATTATATGTAGGCAGAAACTTTTCAGCGTATATGTCTCTTTGTGAAAAGTGTAAAATCTTTCTGAAAATCTTCTATAGTTAAGGTACCACCGTATCATTTTATCTCATGAGTGTTTAATACTTACTGGGTGCTTTTTAAGTTTTGTGGCAACATCTTACTTCAGTAAATAGTCGTACTTCCTTATATTAAGAAAAAAGTTATGTCACCCATTTGAACAAAGATATCTGGTGTTGAACAAACAAAAAACAATCACAGGAAAAAAAAAAAAAAAAAGTAGTAACCAATTCGCGCATGAAT